TATTATTATTATTATTATTATTATTGTTGTTGTTGTTGTTGTTATTGTGATTGTTATTGTCATTATTATTGTTATTGTTATTATTACTATTATTACTATTACTACTATTATTACTATTACGATTATTATTATTATTATTATTATTACTATTAAAACTAATATTACTAATATTACTAATATTATTAGTATTATTATTGTTGTTGTTGTTGTTATTATTGTTATTATTATTATTGATATTATTATTATTATTACTGTTATTATTACTATTATTACTATTACTACTACTACTACTACTATTATTATTATTATTATTATTATTATTATTATTATTACTCAATGGCACTTTCAAGCATGTTGTTTATGATTTAAACATTTTAGCAGTCGAATTACATTTTTACAACAGTATACACATATACATATATCCGATGATATGATATTGATATTGTAAAAATCCAATCAATCCAATATTATGGTTTTGATTACACATGACAGTATCCATTCTAATATAAATATTTAGTCTACTATATTAATATACCCAACATCACATAGAGCACATTATTTAGTTCTTTAAGTTAATTCTAAAGGAAAATTAAACGGTATATATGTGTGTGTAGTTATATAAGTCTTTTTTTGTACATAAATCAATCCTATTCTTTTGCTAGTATAACTACATTATTTAAAATTGACATTTTTTTTCATTCAAAAAAAATATTGACATTATTTGAAAAGTAGATTTAAATTGGTCTTATGTGGCAACAATTTTGTACAACGTATGGCATATCATTAGAAATGTAATATTAAATGTTTATTATCCCCCTTTCTAATATCATTATTCTCCGATCAACTACTACGTACTCATTAATAAAACAGTTAATAGATAATTGACATTAATTTAGCAACAAGTTATGTATTTTTAAGTCCAAATACTTTTTATTTCTCATCACATCAATTTTAAAGAAGTAAGTAAATAAATATTTAACAATCCGATACAATCAACATTGTAACTGCTACAACATAAGAGTTCATTTTGTACATTTCAAAAGAAAAGTGATTTCTCACTTTATAAGGAAACAACTTTCTAATCATGATATTATTATTAGTCCTAAATTTCCATATTTAGTCAACATTATTATTTGAGTAATTGCAGTGACACACGTTATATTGTAACTTACAATTACATTTAATTCAACAAAGGAAAATTTTTAAATGAAAAATGAAATTACAAATATTAACATTTTCTAAAAATTGTACAAGCTTTATGGAAACGCTTACCAAATTGAATCGAACGATGGCATAAATAGTGGAAGAATTTGTTCCTTAACTTGATCTCACATATCTTCTTCCTTAATCAACCGCAGAGTTAATATTTGGACTATATAGTACTAACTTCTTTTCTAGTGTAAAGCTCTAGAGTGCTTGAATATGGGGGGAAAATAGAGAAGTTAGAAGCTAAGGGCTCGTTCGGTAATATATGTATACACAAAAATAAAATTCAAATGACCCTAAACTTTGGATAACAGATAAATTCCGCTAGCTGGCTTTACTAAACTTGCGCACGGTTGGAACAAATACGCTGTAGAATCGGTCCTTTTTTTCTCACCAAGTGTTTAGGTGATAAAAGTGGTGACAAATACTTTCAATTTAGTCACTCCAATTCAAGTGACAAAGCTGGTGAGTATAGTCACTAGGGCTTTAGGTGCCTGATTTAAGTGCCTAATTCAATCCTTTTTTGTAGTGTGTATTAATTTAGAAAAAAATAGTTTATTACACCTTGTATTTTGTATTAATTTATAAAAAATAGTTTTCTGATTTTGTAAAAACTCAGTTTTTGAATTAAAAAATCAGTTTTTGTTTATATAATACAAAAATGATGTCATATGTTTCATGAAAAAATTGATTTTTGAAATCTATAAAATTAATTTTTTCATAAAATCTATAAAATCAGTTTCATTTTTTGTTTATTCATGAAACCTAAAAATCAATTTTTCATGAAACATATGAAATCATTTTTGTATTATATAAACAAAAACAGTTTGTTTAGTTTTTTTATTTCTGTTTTAATCTATAAAATACACGTTTTTACTTAATTTCTGTTTTTTACCTATGAAACAGTTTATTATTAATTTCTGTATTATTTCAGTTATTTCGTATTTACTTATCAAGCTTATCAACAATTTAAAAAAATGTCGTTTTTATGTTTTTTATGAAACGACGTTTTATTTAAAATAAAATATTATAATATCCGAAATTATTTAAAAATCAGTTTTTATCAAGTTTTATAAACAATAGATAGTAATCTCCGAAAAAACATAAAAAAAAATAATTAACAGTTTCATGATTTGGGTTAGACATGTTAACTTTTTTGAAAGTGTAACATGAGGGGGCGAAAATTTGTGGAGTTGAAATTATTATTCTTAATAAATATCCGAAATTAACAAAAGCTCAAAAACTCAAAAATATCCTTGACTAAATATTTAATAAATTACTATTCTTAATAAATATCCAAAAAACTCAAAAACATATAAACATTCAAAATCTAAGGCATGAAACAAATGATATAAACAAATCATGAAACAATAAATCTAGAGCATGCATTTTTAAATTACGAGAGAAAACATGCATATGAATATATAATCATATAAACACATAAAAAATGAATGCATATGAATATATGAACAAATCATTGAAACATAAATATTTTTAGCATGCATTTTCAAAGAAGTAGAACATGCATTTGAGTGTATAATATTACAAACAGTAGCATTTTAAATCATTTCCAATAATTTAAGTATATGGAAATATTTGAGTATGTAAGCACATAAACATATAGAACGTATATGAGATATGAACATATAAACATATTGAATGCATGAAAACTTATTAACATATAAACATTAAATTAAACAATTAAACAATATTAAGAAAAACATGCATTTTATTTTTGGCATTTTAAAACATTTATTATAAAATATTCAGAAATTAAAGAGTTAGAAACATAACCTCAATGAAGGAGAAGAAGACAAGAAATGGAAAGGAGTGAAGGCTTCGAAGGACGGCGGCAGAGGCGGAGATGATCCGTGGTGGCCGGAGAGCTGTACATGTGCGGTGGCGGTCGGCGTGTAAGAGTAAAGGGAGAAGTGTAAGGCGGAGATGGCCTGCGGTGGAGGGTTGTGTGCGGTGGCGGTCGGCGGGTGTAAGAGAAGGCAGAAGTGTAAGGGGTGGCGGTCGGCAGGTGTAAGAGAAGGCAGAAGTGTAACGTTTGGGAGGGGAGAGGGTTAGGGTTTGCTTGGGAGCGTAAGGAAAAATGGAGAAGTGTTGTTTATATATTAGGGGTTGTCACGGACCCATCCGTGACAACACCCGTGACAAATTAAATACGAATTTTGAATTTTGAATTTGTCACGGATTAATCCGTGACAAAATCATCGGAAATTGAATACTGAGGGACGCCAGTCGAGGCGTCAGGGAATGGCAGACGAGGTAGCAGAAGCGGCAGGTTGACCGGTTTGTCACGGATCCATCCGTGACAAATCCGAGACAAAATTCAAAAATTTGAATTTTGTCACGGATTTGTCACGGATGGATCCGTGACAAACCGGAATATTAAAGCTTTTCAGCCTTTTTTCAGGCGAGGCGTCAGATACTTTAATTGTCACGGACCTATCCGTGACAAATTTAAGTATAAATATGTGCTTAGAGCCCCATTTTTTCAGTGCGAAAAAATGGCTAATCCAGAACTAGATGTGTGGAAGTTGATCAGTAGAAGTGTACAACGATTAAAACAAGTTACACAGTTGATGAAGCCTCGAAATGCAGAAGCAGTTCAAAGCATCCGTGAGCTGATGAGTAGACCGCTTGAAAGCTTTGGCGATATTGTAGACTATGAATCAGACTCATACAATGTTTCACGAAGGAAAAACTTGTGTAGGGCACTTTTACGTGCAGAACAATGTTCGGAGTACATGATACCTATAAACGCGGAAGCTGCAGAAAGAATTAACGAGCTACTTGATAGGCCTCTAGATGAAAGCTTTGACGCTAATGAATAATATTGTGTTTATTTGTTTATCTGTATTGTGAGTTATTGAATGTAGTAAATGATAAAAAATTGTGTGTTTTCTACTTAGTTTTTAAATTTAATAAATAAATTCATGTTCTTGTTTATTAAATTTCAAATTATTAAAATTTTGTAATGTTAAAAAACTAATAACAAATAATGTTAAAAAACTAATTTCCGAATTTTAAATAATGTTAAATTTCGAATTATTTAAAATTTAAATAATTTTCAATTTTCGAATTACCTAATTTATTTTAAATTTCCGAATTGATAATAATGAACCACTAATTTTCGATTGAATAATTTTAAAAACTTAATTTTATTAATTAATTAATCGCTATTTTACAATATAATATGGAATAATTATTTTGTTTAGAAATTATAGTTGCGAATTACATACCTAACTATCTTGGAATAATATAATAATGACGAAAGAAAGTTAAAAATTCAAATTAAAATAGTTCAATTAAAAGTAATTACATTGGTTGTTAACTATACATTTAATCGCTATCAGAATCAGTATTTTCTTGATAGCCAACTTCTTCTTCTGTATCTTCATCATCATATATCAATTCTTCTTCCTCCTCCTGGTCATCGTGCAGTTGTTGTATATATAATTCTTCAATTTCGCGCTCATTTTGAGGTATAGGGGGCGGAAGGTGTGTTTCAGGCATAACTTCAACATCTCCGCCATTTGGGTCACTTAACTGAATGTTATGGTTGACCGTGTCAGCAATAGACGGCGGTTGGAAAAAATCTTACTGAAAAGCATCAAAGTCAATATCCTTGTGTTGAGCCTGTGTTACAATTTTGCTCGGACGGATATTAAAGGCACACACCCAAGGATTACGTGTGCGCCTCGTTGAAGGATACTCTGCATAATAAACCTGTGCTGCTTGTTGAGCGAGTATAAAAGGCTCATTTTTCTGATACACACGAGAGTGGTTGACGTCAATTATATTATACTTTGAATTTTTTCTCACACCACGTGTAGGGTCGACCCATGTGCAGCGAAACAACACGCATGTTAATTCTTGCAAACCAAAAGGCATTTGAAGTTCGAGAATCTCATGCAAGAAACCAAAAAAATTGGTTTCCGAGTTATCAGAACCGATGGTCGGGACACATAACCCGCTTTCATTGTTGGTCGACCTTCTCCATATTCGACTGTGTGATACGTATAACCGTTTATCACATATGAATGCCAAACCTTTGCATAGGAAGAAGGGCCCCACGATAATGATACTAACAGAGGGTCGTTAATCCCACGGTACCTGATCTGCAAATTAAAACATGATAACATTAGGTATTGATTAAAAATTATTAGCTAATAGTATATATAATGTATTTATATATATATATATATATATATATATATATATATATATATATATATATATACCTGCTGTTGGTACCATAATGCAAAGTCAGAGTCCACCATTGCATCAATTGCATCATCAGGAAATGCTGATAAAGACGCTCTAAATTCATTGTGAATTGAAACATAAAGATATTATTATAACACTCTAATTATTAAAAAAATATTAGCTATATTACAAATGTAACTACCAATTCATCTTACTTATAAAATTGTAAGATTTCTGGACAATTCATGAGGATGTAAGTATGTGCAATTTTCATTTCTCCGCCCACGATGTAACGGTAAGTCGTAGCTCCTTTACCTCTACCTGGGTAGTTGAAAATAGAAACTACTTTATCATATGAATCCTCGCCAATGTCATCGTTCCGAGTAGGTCTCTTTCTTTTACTGATGACTTCACGCTCAAAATAAAAAGATGAAAACGCTGAGGTTTCTTGTTGAATATATGCTTGACAAATTGAAGCCTCAATGTGTGCCTTGTTGGTCGCTTTCTTTTTCAAATCTCCCAGTAATCTGTCATGCAAAATAAAATTTGTAAATAAACAAATGTTCTTATTAAACAAATCATCGTTTATAAATGAAATTGTGACTAAACTTTCAAATCTGTACATCCAACGATAGAAAATGGGCCCTCCATTCAAAGCCTCATACGGAAGATGTATTAGAAGATGTTCCATTACATCAAAAAATGATGGGGGCAGTATCTTTTCCAGATTACACATCAGAATAGGAATAGTGTCTTCTAGTCTCCTCAGGGATTCGGCATCCAAAATGGTGGAACATATCGACTGAAACAATTGACTGATTTCGGTAATACAGCCCCAGACGTCTGCAGGAAGCATCTCTTTCAGTGCAATCGGCAGAAGTCGTTGCATGATTACATGATCATCATGAGTTTTCATGCTCGACGTCATTGTTTGTTTGTCCAGGTCCACGCATCTTGACAGGTTAGAACAATAGCCATCTCGAAAGTTTAGAGAAATAAACCACTCTAATATTGATTCCCTTTGTGGGGCTGTGAGTTGGTAGACTGCTCTTGGAATTTTTTTACCCACATATTCTAGATCGACGGCGAGTTCGGGTCTGTCGCACCAAATTGTCATGTCTTTTCTAGATGCAAGACCGTCTTTTGTTTTGTGGGTAAAATCCATAACCGTGTTAAATATATTGTCAAAGACGTTCTTCTCAACGTGCATGACATCTAAATTGTTACGAATGAGAAGGTCTTTCCAATATGGCAACTCCCAAAATATACTCCTCTTTGTCCACTTATGGGTATCATAATACCCATTTGGCTCCCCGTAGGGTTGCTGCACAGCCGTAGGAAAACGTCGAACCCGGTTAAAAACTTGTTCACCTGTAAGTCTTGGAGGAGGGGGATCTCGTACCACTCTTCCGGCAATAAAAGACTTCTTGTCCTTTCGATATCGATGGTTCATAGGCAAAAACTTGCGGTGACAATCAAAGTAACTTGGTTTCCCGCTAAATTTGAGCCAATTGGCATCTGATTTCTCCATACATATCGGACATCCCATAAGACCGTGTGTGCTCCATCCTGAAAGCATACCATAAGCAGGGAAGTCGCTAATGGTCCAAATGATGGCAGCTTTCATGATAAACATTTCATCTCTTGAAACATCATAAGTTGGTGACCCAATGGCCCAAAGTTCTTTCATCTCCTCGATCAGGGGTTGGAGATAGATGTCTATCCTTTTTTTAGGATCCGAGGGACCTGGACAAATTAAAGTTAAAAAGATGAAATGACTTTTCATGCACATGTCGGGAGGAAGATTATAAGGAGTTAGCATGACTGGCCAACATGAAAATTTCTTCCCAAACTTTCCAAAAGCAGCAAATCCGTCTGAACACAATCCCAGTCGCACATTTCGTGGCTCCATTGCAAACTGAGGATGAAAACGGTCAAAGTGTCTCCAAGCTTCACAGTCGGAAGGGTGAGACATCAAACCCTCTTTGGTTTCGTGCTCAACATGCCACGTCATGTGTTTCACAGTAGCATTTGAAGCATACATCCTCTTCAGGTGTGGAGCTAGAGAGAGGTAAAACAATTTAGACAATGCAGACCTTTTTCGTGGTTTTTTTCGTCTATGAGGAACAGGCTTGTATCTCTCTCCACCACAGAACTTGCAGCTCTCAAGTGCCACATCATCCTTCCAGAACAACAAACATCCTTCTGGGCACGCATCAATTTCTATACAAGGAAGCCCCAACTGAGACATTAATTGTTTCATTTTGTAATATGAATCAGGAAGATTATTGTCACGCGGTAACATTCCTCCAAATGACTGCAATAACCTAGACATGCAAGATTCAGGGAGACTGTATTCAGATTTAATGTTCATCAACTCTGTAACGGCGGATAGCTGAGAGTATCCCTCACAATCAGCATACAGAGGCTGATCGGCAGCTTTTAAAACATCTTGAAATCTTTCAGCTAAGTCTTCAATATGAGGAACATGAGGATTCGGATACTCATCCGCATCAGGCTGATAAAAGGTCGGATCTTCATCTGCATCGGGTTCATATGAGGTCGAAGCTTCGGGAAGATCGTTAAATGGCTGTGGGGGGTTAAACGGAATCATTGAAGCATCGTATACATCATATGCCATTCTTTGATCCCACGTCATTTGATCATAGTCTCCTCATCCACCCATCTCGGTAGGGACGTTGCGAGATGAACCTACTGTTTGTGGTAAAAGTGATGGATCGAAAGGTTCGCCATGAGAAGTCCAATTATAATAATTGGCAACGAAACCTTTTTCGTACAAATCCCACACAACTTGGTCGACATCTTTAAATTGAAGATTTTTACACTTTGTACATGGACATCTGATTTTATCGCCATCCATATAATTCTTCTGTTCTTGTGCAAATTTAATAAAATCTTCAACACCATTAAAAAATTCACTGTGTATTCCATAGTTATCGCGATGTTTTTGGTACATCCAACTTCTGTTTTGTCTATACATTATGCCTGTATATATATTATAATCAAAATATTATATAAGTACATTAAGTAACGTTCAATTAATATTAATATTATTAATTAACTAAAAGCAGTACATTATTTGTGGCATTAATAATTTGAATTAACCAACTTTTCAATCATGACTAATTCATATTTTGAAACATTAATGTGTTAAATTTCACTGAAATTAATATGTTAATGGCCGGAATTAATAATTTACTAATATAATGTTCACTAAAATCAATACAACCTAAGCTAGCTCGGTTGAACTTAGTGAACTTAGAATATATTAAAGATGTTAATATATTGGCCGGAATTTAAATAATTTACTACTATAATATTTTAAACATATATTTCAGTAAGTTCACTAAACTAACTAATATTAAAAATTTAAGCTGGCCGGAATTAATAATTTACTAATATAAAGTTCACTAAAATTAACTAACGTTCAATTAAAATTATTAATTAACTAATAGTAATATCTTAATGGCATTAATCATTTTAATTATTAACTAATTCACAATATTAGAACTTGTGCACCAAACACACTAAATTATTACGTTAATGGCATTTATTCACGATACTAAAATTATGAAAATCTAATAGTACACATTAAATAATTAACTAACATATAATACTAATTAAAGTTATTACGTTAATGGCATTTATTCACAATACTAAAGTTAACTAATTTAACTTATTAATTAGTAAATTTCCATTTAACTAATATTGTTAAATATCATTAATTCACAATAATATATAATTCACACTTAACTAATAAAGTTTGAATCCTAACTTAAATCACTACAAATCCTAAATTATGCTGTAACAATAATTATTGCTAATAAACAAATTAAACCGACCTAATCATCATCATTGGTTATAAACCCATTTCAATTAACTAATATTTAAATCGAACTAATATTATCAACTCAAATTCTAAACCCATTTCCTCAATGTTTTAACTTAGTTAATTAATTTACATTGAACTAATATTATTGTTAAATATTATCTCATTAATAATTCACAATAATAATTCACACTAAACTAATTAATAATAAAGTTTCAATCCTATATTATGCATCCCATTAACAATAATTGCTAATAAACAATAATCGGTGATAATAACCTAAGCTAGCTAACTTAATTAAATCACTACAAGTCACTAATTAATTAATCTATAATAAGCTAGCTAATACTTAAATCACTACACATTCTAAATTATGCATTAATAACAATAATTGCTAATAAACAAACCGGCCTAATCATTGGTGATATAAACTCATTTCAATTAACTAATTAATATTTATATTTAAATTTAACTAATTAAATTACGTTAATAGTTTAATAATATATTGTTAATAATATGAAAATTAACATGACCTCACTAAATTACGTTAATAGTTTAAATAAATGAACAACTAACCTCACTAAGCTAATAATTAATTTATTACATAATTAAAAGAAATTAGTTAAAATGACATACCTTATCTGCATAAACTGGGAAAATGATGAACTGACGGATTACATCATTCAATCTTTAAACCGATACTACATCACTCGAATCTACGAATTTTTGAACTGATAAGTGTTGTTCTTGCAATTGTAATGGACGATGGGGTTGGGTTATATAAAAAAATTTGTCACGGATTTGTCACGGATTTATCCGTGACAACCCCTTTTTCGTACTGTATTATTAAAGGTTACCGCTGGAAAATCAATAATTGAAGTTTGTCACGGATTTTGTCACGGATAGATCCGTGACAAAGTTTTTTTGAGATTTGTCACAGATTTGTCACGGATCTGTCCGTGACAAATGCCCAGGAGCAAAAAAAGTATTCGTTGGAGTAAAAAACCGGTCGCCGGAGTAAATTTGTCACGGACCAAATCCGTGACAATATTTTGTCACGGATTTTTTCACGGACCTATCCGTGACAACACATTTTCGTGACAAATCCCAATATTCCGTGACAAAGCCCGTGACAACTTTGTCACGACCGTAATCCGTGACAAAAATCCGTGACAACACGCGAGTTTTTTTGCAGTGTCTGTATGTTTTTTGCTAGAATGTGTGCTTTCTGATGAAACAGTCCTTAAATAGACATATTTATTAGTTATAAATATAGAACTATA